TGCCTCTCCAACTCACCCCTCAAAGGGAGAGAACTTAACTTCATTCTGGGAGACAAGAACCTCTTTCCTCCCCAATAAGGTCAGAGCTGATAAAGGTCAGTGTCCAATGCCGGAGTGAGGGGTGTTCTCGCAATCAATGGATTAATCATTAACGCTGACGTTCCTCTTTGATGTTCCAATGTTCCCCTTTCAAAGCCTGGTCCCCGGAGTCCTGGGCACAGCAGGTGACAGAAGCCAGGTCCCTGGAAGGCCTACGATGATTCCACCCAGGCCCTGCATTTTACACATAGGGAACCTGGGCTCAGGGTAGGGAAAGGCTGGGCACACATGCACACGGGTAGTAATATCCCATTTCACAGGTGAGGGTTTGAGGCCCGAAGAGACCCAGAGCCTTTCCCAAGGTCACGTTGCAAAGCCCTTCCACACTGGCTAGTTCAGGCACATCTCCTGGCCTGGAGGGGTCCTGGGAGTCCTCTGCCTGGGACAGCCCCCCAGGGCCTGAAAGAGGATGAGGGGAGAAGAATGGGAAGGAGGAAACAGAAGATACCAGAAAGGGGAAAGGAGGGACGGGAAGTGATGGAAGGCGGTGGGAGGTGCGTGGGGAGAGGGCGGGAGGGAGGGCACAGGAAGCAGGCTCTGGTTTGTGGAGAGTTTGCTTAGCACCTCCCAGGCGGGGGGTGAGGCTGGGGCAGGTGGGATGGCGAGCACTGCCACCTGCGCTGACCCCTGCTAACCAGCAGTCCCTCCAGAGTAGCTGTGAGGCCCTGGAAGGGCGGGCCAGCTCTGACTGGCACAGGTAGAACACGCGGTGGGGACCCTCAAGCCCTGAGGAGTGCCAGGTGGACGGGTTTAGGAAGGTGAATGCGGGGTGTCGAGGGACCCAGCAAGATACCAGGAGTTGGGGGTGGACGAGAGGGTGGAAGGCTGGTGCTAGTCTGCGGATGCCAGGGACACTGCAGCCTAGCTCCACGGGAGAGGGCTGGGGGCACTGAGGAGTGTTACAGGGCAGTGACGTGCTAAGCTGCCCGTTTAGGGAGTATTCCTCAGAAGGCTGGTGAGCTGAGCGGAAGGAGCAAAGCGCAGGCAGAAAACCTATCCTGGATTCAGGGTAGAGGTGATGGGGGCCTGGGCAGCGAAGGGCAGCTGGAATGGAAAGTGGGGGACAGAATCCAGAGGCTTGGGCAAGTGGGAAAAGAAAGTCTCCCTGGCCCACCGCTCTGGGGAAATGGCAGGAAAGAAATGTCAGAAGGGGACAGACAGGAGGGATAGGAAGAAACCAAAGGCAGGACCCGATTCACCACACGGCCTTAAATCAGACACTGGGACATCGGAAGTGCCCGCAAAGGAACTGTATGTTTATTCTTTTGTCTCAGCCGCCCTTCTCTGATGCCCATTTTTCACGGGGGAAAGGTGACAGCTAAGGCAATGCCTGGAGCTGGGAAGAGAATGTCCAGATATTCCACAAGGCCAATCTAACCTCCTGCCACCACCTCCAGGAAGCCCACCCCGGCTGCACCCACCTCCACTGGCCTCACCCACCTCTGAGAACTACCAGCCCTAGATAAGGAGCCCCTTACTCCTGCCTCGGCTGTTTCAGGCCTCATCCTTCTCTTTGTGAGTTTGAAGCCTGTTTGGGAACAAGGGGCATGTCCAGGTTTCCCTGAGGTTTTCCTACTGGTGGAGATGGGCATGCCCCTGGCCAAAGAGGGTGAATGGGAATGGGGGCTCAGGACCTGTTTGGTGAGCTCAGCGACGCGATGTCCTTTCATTTTCAGGCATGGATGTTGTCTCCAGGTGTCCTTAGTACAGGAGATTTATCACATGAACACAGCAGAGGCCTGTCTAAGGTAGGATGCTGAGGCCAGGCATTACATAGATGGGCACCCTGAGCTCCAGGCAGGGTGAAGGGAAGGACCCCCTAGGGCGGCTTGGGCCCCCAGGACTAAGCCCCTCCCATCTTCCACCTCTTAAACCACTTCTCTTTGCTAACCTACAGCCCAGGGGTTCACAAACCCTTCCAGCAGGTCAGATCCGGCCTGTCACCTATTTTTGTACAGCCAGTGAGCCAAAAATGTTTTTTAATCTTCAAATGGTCAGGAAAAACTTAAAAGGCTCATACTTCAGGACACAGGAAAATTGTACGAAATTCAAATTTGTGTCTGTAAATAAAGATGATCAGAACATAGCCCTGCTCATTTGCATAAGTATCATCTATGGCTGCTTTTACGTTATGACAGCAGGATGGAGCAGTTGCAACCTAGTGTACGGCCAGCAAAGCCTAAAATATTTACTATCTGGCCCTTTACAGAAAAAGCCTACCCACCCTCGTTCCACCCTCACACAACAACACACACACGCTTTCTCCACTCAGTGCAACGTGCATCTGGACGCTCATTAAGGAAGAATTTGTGATCTTCATTGGGCAGACGTCCGAGTCCCCAGGTGTGTCGAGATCTGTGTGAGAGGGTGTGTCCCCTTGTCCGTATGTATGTCGTGCTCTGCTGTTGTATGTTTGCCCCAGTTCTCTGGCAGGTGTCATGGGAAACCTGCATGCCGCCCCGGCAGTGTGTCACTCCCTCTCTGTGTGTCACTGTGGAGGTGGCTGTCACCAGGTGCCTCTGACGGCATCCAGGGCTCAGTACAAACACGCCACAGCTGAAGAGTTTGCAGCCTGAATGTTGCCAGGCAGCTGGACCACTAGGCCCAGCCCAGTCAGACCCTGGACTTGTAGATTCCTCCATTCAGAGGTGGCCGAGGCTTCCAGGGCCCCAGTCCCACCTGTCTGGGGCATGGGACCTCTGCTCACATACCTCCCCAGACAGGAAACCCACAGTCACCCCAAGTGTCGGCTCCACACTGGGTAGCTCTCAGGGAAGCAAGGCCTTCCTGGCACTGAGCTGAGCTCGTGCTCTGTGCTTGGCACTCCTTGGTTCTGCCCTCTGGCAGACAGCACAAGGTGTCCTCTGCTTAACAGTGCCAGCCCTGGGTCAATGAAATCTTCACCCCTAAGAGGCCAGAGACCTGGGACACTGAACCTGAGGCCACATCCCCAGGAAGAAAGCCACCTTGTGGCCTTAGCTCTTGTCTTTCCTAGGCTCTTAGGTGTAGATACTGATCTCTAAACACCCATTTTGTTTTGTTTTGTTTATTCAACACAAATTGAGGAAGTGTCCCAAAGTAGGAGCACGGCAAAGAGGGGTGGCCGCACGAGAAAGGATGTATTCCAAAGCGTTTCTCCAATCAACGCCCTGCCAGCCTTAACCTTACACAAAACAGGACCTTAATGAAACTTTTAGCCTGATTAGTTCTTAGAATGTAGAGTCCTTCAAGAGGCTTCCCAGAGATAACCCCTCTCACTGCACGTAGGGGCAAACAGAATCATAGGGTCTTGTCCCAGACACAGAATCATGGATGAACTACCCACCACAGGGGAGGGAAGGCACCGGGTTCGCCTCCCTGGTCACCCCACACACACTTGTTGATGAACTGTTTGGAAGATCTGGACAGGGCCTGCCCCAGTGTGTTGTGTCTCTAATTCATATACTCAAATTTTGACTGGTGTCCAGACTGGCACCTCTACTTGCCCTCCCCAAAGTCAGTGGAGAAGAGGAGCCCCAGATTCATCTGGGGACTGGGGGTTCTGCCAACCCGCCCTGCACCCAGCACCAACTCAGACTGGCCCCCTGAGAAAATCTGAGCGTTGCTGCCCCCCAACCAAGGCCCATACATAGTTTTGTATCCCCTTCAGAAGCCCACAGCCGCTCAGAGCCTCCAGCCTGACCTTCACAATGCTTGTCTGCCTCTGCCCAAGAGGGTCCCAAGGCAGGGTGCCCTCCACAGACTGTGTAGCCCCCTCCCATCCCCCAGCCGCCCCCAATGCAGCGCTGCTCACTAGAAGAGCCAAATGCTGTATATTTTCTTTTGGTGTGTGTGGGAAGGTGGGGGGAGCGGATAAGGGAAACATGCATCTGCACTAAAAGCATAGAAATCATCTGGAGAATTTAGCAGGGGTCCTCCATCCTTCCCCCAGCAGCTTTCAAAGGGGATCTGAGCACGGGCCAGGGGTGAGCTTCCACTCCCAGCTCCACGTGAAATACAATCAGCTCCTGGCCGGGCTCTCCCCTGAGCGTCTAGCTCCATCCATTGGCACCCTGGCCCCTTCGGACCACCCGCCACCCAACCTGCAAAGGTCCTGCCTGCCCAGGATGTGGGCCCCAGCCTCCCGCAGCTGCTGCACGAGCCTGTGCCTTTAAGGCAGTGGGCAGGGGTCTCATCTCAGGCGAGCCCACTTCAGCCAGGGGAGGCCACCGCGTTTCTCCCACAGGCCCCCGTGGGGCGTTTCCTCGCGGGATCGCAGAAGCCCAGGCATCCGGACCCCCACCTCTCTGCGCCGCGGGAAACCGAGAGACGACGCTCTTCTGAACAATCCCGAAGGTGTCACTACAGGGGGACATTCTCCGCCGGCCCATACTCCACTCTGTACACAGCACGCCGCTTGCCCACCCCTCAAATCCCGTGAGGACTGCGGTACCCAGCCCCCTGGGGACCCTCCAGCTTCTCCTGGCCGCGTCCGTCTGCCCTGGGAGTAGAGAGACAGGTCCCTGTGGGTCCCTCCGGCCGCAGTGCCTTCCCTGCCCCTGGTCCTCCCTTCTGGCATGGAGAGGGGCGCGAGGTAGCTAGCCCACCCCACCCCCTGCGAGCTGCAAGGATCGGTCGCCCCCGAGCATGATCCCAGATATTGGGAGGGCGGGGGAGGGGGGCTAGAGGGAGGGTATCAGACAGTCGCGCAGGATGGGTGCAGCGGCGGGAGACGGCTTCATTTAGGTTTCGGGAGGTTGGCCCCGCTCTGGCCCTGGCCCGCTCTCCGTCGGTGAAGGACGCTGCTTGCGGAGACAGCCGAGCTGGAGGAGGGGCTCCGCGGTCCCCAAGGGGCGAAGGTTCTGGAGTCGGGGGAGGGCGGACAGGGCTTAGAGGGGCAGGGGCGGCGGGGCGGCCCTTACCTGCTCACAGCGGGGCCTCGCCGCGGGGCCGCGGGCTGCGGGTCGGCCCGGGGCACACTCCGCGCCCCGAGCCGCCCGAGGACGGGGAGCGTGTGCGCTCAGCAGCGCGCGCCGAGCCCGGGTCTCCGCGTCCGTGTGTCCGCCGGCTGCCGGTATCCGTGGGTCCCTGCGCGGCGGAGTGAGCTTGTGCGCACGCGGGGACCGCGCTCGCCTGGAGCCGCCGCTGCCGCCGTCAGTAGCCGCCTGGGGCCCGAGCGCGGCGCCCCCCGCCTGCCCTCGCCCGCCCTGCGCCGCGCGCCAGCCCAGCTGGGTCTGGGCTGCGGAGAGGCGCCGCCTCCACCGCGAAGCCAGGCCGGGGGCAGGAGGGAGGCGAGCGACCACCGCCTTCCCCCAGCGCACTTCGCAGGCTGGGGGTGGGGTACAGGCCAATGGGCGCCCGGGGGAGGGCTTAGGCCGGGGATGGGGTGGAGCGGGACCCCGCCCGCCGCACATGGGAGCAAGAGCTTCGGCTGGGAGACCTGGGGGCGAGGATGCGGAGGCAACAATTCCCCTCTGTAGTTCGGCTTCCGGGGCTCAGCGTCGGGCCTTCCCCGGGGCTCACCGCCCTCCTTTCAACCCTCCCGAGATACCCAGAGCGAGAAACCCTCTGCCTTCTCCCTGCCACGTCCTCCTGATTTCCTGTCTGAGCCAGCGCCTCCTCCTCCAGGAAGCCTTCCTTACAGGGCAAGTCCCAGACTCCCCTTGGGATTTTCTTTGCCCACGCAGCCCTGGCCTGGGAAAGTCAGCTAGCTCTGGCATTCCTGCCTGGATGTCTTCAAATGTGATCCCCTAGAAAACGCCTCTATGGCCAGAAAAGGGAGGTGGGGGCCTTACCAGGGCGGCCTACAGCAACTTAAGATGACAGTGCTCTGGAGTCAGACTGCCTGGCTTCAGTCCCTGCTGTGCCAGGGCTAGCTCTGTGAGCTGGGGCAGGGGACTGGGCATCTCTGAACCTCAACTTCTTCCCTGGGAATCATAGTACCTACCCCCCACCTCTTAACAACATCATTAAACAAGAATGGTACACACATCCCAAAGTAGATTTTCACTGATTTTATTTCCTCACTAATGAATTAATTACTATGGCTACTGTTATTGTAGTACCACTCAGCCTCCTCCTAGTACAGATGGATAAGTTGAGGCTTAATGTGGGGAGCTAAACAGGTCAAGACAATGTAGCCAGTTGGTGGTGGAGCCAAAGCCCGACAGAGAACAGTTACCCACTCCCACCAGCCAGCTCATTGCTCCCACCTGCCCCTGCTCACAGTTTCTGGTCACTACCCCAGGTGTCAGCATCCCAAGTCTCCCTCCATAGCCCCATCCACAGTTCTGCAACCAGGCTCTGTCTTTCCTCATTCAAGTCATCGTTCAGCCTCCCTGTGGGCCTGAGTTTTGGGTGTGACCACCTTGTTGAGGAAGCTTCAAGGAGGAGGAGGGAAGAGAAAGAGACTTAAGCCTTTCCTTGGGAATTCTAGTCCAACTGGGGAGGAGAGGACTGGAGCATGAAGCAGGACTCCATAACGAAAACTTGAAGGAAGTATCTGGAAAGATGCGAGGAGTTCCCTGGGTCCGCTCAGTGAGTTGATGATTTTTCTTTACTGCGCAGTGAACCCTGCCCCCCTCTGTATACCACACTGTTGGTCTTCACGGATCACATTTCTTTCAGTCCAGAAAAGCTTCCTGGAGGAGGAGAATGTTAGTTCTTCTCTGTATCAGTATAGGGTGAGACCCCTCTGGAAAGAAGAGGGCCTGGTGCCTTGCTAGAGTCAGACAGACAAGATGGACAGGACTTCCCTCTGGACCTGGGTACACCCCTTTCTAGATTGTTGCCATTACCCCTGGGAGCCTACTTTCATCTGTCTCCAGCCCGGGTATCTGAAGGTCAAATGAGATGCTGTGTGTGAAAGTGCTCTGTAAACTGTGAAACATCGTGAGGGGGAAGGAGGGGCTGCGGCAATCTCTGAGTCAGGAGGGGAGCATGAAGCATGGGACGCTGGAGGCATGAAGTGTGAGGAAGGGTGGAAACCAGAGTCACCTGCAGCAGGCCAGCCGTCCCTGGGAATGTCAGTGGTCGGGCCGCCGGATGAGGACCCTTGGCTCTGAGTCAGCCTTCATTTCCGGGTTTATTCCCTTTTCCATACTCCAGGTCTCTGGGCTCTGGATCCCCTGCCCTCTGTTCTGTGTCCCGGGTGTATGTCGTGGTGTGGGCAGTGAGCAGGTTGGGCACCTCTTGCTCTCTGCCTGGGCAGCCAGTGGACAGGAATGAACCCGCGGTCCTCTGCTCACACCCCTTCCCTTCACCTGTTCTCCCTTTGCTGCAAGGCCCCTAGCCAGAGGGTAGGCTCCTAGCTGACCATAGCTAGGGGTCAGTCAGGGCTCCAGGTCCCACTGTGCAGTCCATTCCCTGCATGGGGCAGGTAGGGGTGGAAATCCAGCTCCTGCTCTGCCCACTTCCCACCAAGCCAGGCATACAGAGTCCACCAAAAGGGGTGCTTTTTCTAACTGGTCCTGGACAGGGCACCTCTAATTTTCTCCAAGGTGCTGCAGTCCTTGTAGATGGCTTCTAACCCCAGCCGTACCTAGTAGCATCAGCCTGGATGAGGCACAGAAATGAACATCATCAGAGCTGGGCTCCAGGAAGGCTGGCTAGTCCCCTTCTCTATGCATGAAGTGCCCAAGCCCGAAGGGGCCACAGGACTGGCCCAAGGACACACTTTTCAGACTGGGGACTAAAGCTTGTGTCCACATGCCCAATTTAGTGTAGTTCTACCTAGTGGGCTACCCCTGTCATGCTGAAGCAGGCTGGGCTTCCATGCCCCAGACCGTTCTCTGCCCATCCAGGCATATGGCTTTGGTCTCTCCAAACAATCTTGGTTCTCCCTGAGCTATGCCAGGTCTGGTCCCCCAGACTGGGCCTCCCCAAGGACAGGACCACAGTTTCCTTCTTCTTCCAAGATAGCCAGCCCCTCCTCACCCTGCCTGCCTGGCTTGAGGGAGACAGGGGGCCGAGGGACCACCCCTGGGAATGGTCTCCTTCCAGAGGACCCCTTGAGTTGCCTTCTTTCCCTTAGGGTGGGAGGCTGGGGCATCTCCTCAACAGCTTTTCCCTACCCGGAGGTGCTCACTGCCTCAACTCGCTTCCACAAGCCAGCCAGCCAAGCAGGCAGCCGCCGAAAAAGATAGATTTTAATTCAGTTTTCTGAGACGTGGCTGAGGGAGATGGATGCCAGACTGCCCTACCCAGCATTCATCTCTCCTGAGCAGCGCTTCCCCCCGCAACTCCTGGCCCCCACCCCTCTCCAGCCATACCAGCCCAGCTGCGCAGGCAGGGAGAACAGCACATTCGAGGACACCAAGGGGTTTTTATTGTGAATCGCTGACATTTGCTGAATGTTCACCTTGTCTTGAGCCAGTGCTTCTCAACCCTCCTGTGCTACAGAATCCCTGGGGAGCTTTCAAAATGTACCCATGGGGGCTTCCCTGGTGGCGCAGTGGTTAAGAATCCGCCTGCCAATTCAGGAGACACGGGCTTGAGCCCTGGTCCGGGAAGATCCCACGTGCCACAGAGCAACTAAGCCCGTGTGCCCTAGAGCCCATTCTCTGCAACAAGAGAAGCCACTGCAGTGAGAAGCCTGCACACCACAGCGAAGAGTAGCCGCCGCTCACCACAACTAGAGAAAGCCAGCACGCAGCAATGAAGACCCAACACAGCCAAATATAAATAAATAAATAAATTTATTTAAAAAAAAATGTACCCATGTCTGGGCCTCACCACCAAGATCAGTGGACAGTTGGTCTGTGGTGAGGCCAAAAGTATTTTTTTAAAAGCTCCCTGGTGGATTGCAGTGTGTAGCCAAGGCTCAGAACCACTGCCGTAGGCCCTCTGCTAAGCGCTTTACCTGTGCATGTCCCAAGGGGCCGTGCTCATATGTCCAGAAGCCATGAGAGGCGTACCGAGGTGCTGTCCCTCAGAGCCCTTGGTAACCGTAAGCATCCTCTTCTACTTCCTCTGGGAGCTGTACACACGTTTTTGTTTTCTATGTGCTCCAGGACATGAAAAGGATGCAAAATTGCTGCCTTACGGGCATTTGCCCATTGAATTCATATTTGGGGAATGTCCTGGGCATTCATTGAATAGCAGTCTATGGAGTATGGGTTTCTCTCTATGGAGGAGCAAAATGCTGACCCTGGGTCACTTCTCCCCCAAGCTAGTGGGAGCCAGAGTTCTAGATTGTGCAGCTCTGGGGAAAGTTTGATTCTGAAGGCCCTCTGGTCACCTCCTGCATCTGTGCTGGAGTCAGACAGCCAGGCAGGCTCTGAGAAGGCCCAGGTGCATCAGGGAGTGCCCACTGGAAGGCCCAGAAACACAACAGGGTGAGCAGCAGGGAGGCTATGGAAGGCTCAGCCCCATGAAGGGGCGTAGGCCAGGCCCGTTGCCTCATAAAGGTCCCCTCTCCCGCAGATACGCAGGCTGCAGGGACATTCCAGGTAGCAGGGCCTGGGCTCCCCTGGGCGAGCACCGTTCCCGAAGTAGGCCCCCTGCCCTCTCCCCCAGGAGGCAGCATCCTCATCAGATAAACCAATACCGTCCAGAGCCTTATTCAGCCACCCCAAGGACCCTTGGAATTTTCTAAGAAACCAAGGCAATGAACATCAGCCCATTTAGATTCATGGTTTTCAAACTGTATTCCAGAAGCTCTACAATGCTTGAAGCTGCCTCACCAGAAACCTGGAGTAAAGAAGGAAGGGAGACCTGTCTTCCTGTCTTCAGAGCTTCCCGGGACCTCCACAGAGCTGAGGAGTCCCAAGTCCTCTGTGTTCCACCCCCCACAGGGCACGGCAGTAGATACGGAGGAGAAGGGGAGGATTGTCAGAGCAGGGGGAAAGGACCAGGGAGACAGGGATCTGGAATCCTAAATTCTAAGTGCAGACTTGACTAGCTAAGCACCCCATTTCACAGATGAAGCAGATGAGGCTCAGAGAACAGGAATGGTTGGCTCAAAGTTATAAGGCTAACTAGTAGCAGAGATGGGGCTGCATACCAGGTCTTTGAGCACTCAAGTCCTGAGTTCTCTCCCCTGAACCATAACTCTTAAAAGGGAAGATACACTTCCCGGGAGCTGGAACGTGTGGGTGTAATGGGAGTAGGTACCAAAAGAGGTAAAAGTGAGAGATACATATGGAGAGCCAAACGCCCTGTCTTCTTTCCCCATGTACATAAATCCTCAAATGCAGCCTCTGGCCCGGAGAAGCATACACCCAAATACACATACCACTGCACGCGACTATACTCTGCACACACGCACATGTGCATTTCCATCCGTTATGTATGCCCAAATGTACATTCACATAGGGTCCAAGCGTGTTCACGCACATACACAAGGGCACCTTCCAGAGATCTGCGGTG